TGAAGTCAGTGGAACACCACCAATTTGCATCCGCTGAAGATCTGGTTCTTTGATAGCCAGTTCCTCTTTATTGGCATAGGAAAGTCATAATGTAGGCAAAGTTTGTAAGCAAACATTTGACTTGTGCTGGATATTGGAATATCCTAATTCACTTTCCTCACATTAGCTCATTACTCAGTTGTTCATAGGCTTCAGAAACCATCTTTAAGCAAAACCACTGTGATTTCAAATCAACATTTTTGTGTTGGCTTAGAAATGAGGCTCATAATTCTGCAATCCCTTCTAAAAACCCAGTTCTGCTTTGCACTTCTGAGAAGTGAATTATAAAATAAAAAACAAAAACAGAAATAAAACCCTGAATTCTACGAAATCAGCAAGATGTGCATATGCCTCATCCCTTTCTGGTCTGTTTTTGATTCTTATTCATTGGGTCATGTCTGAATTTAGATTGCCCTACAATCATTATATTAATAACAAGGAGAACATTAAATTTATACATAGATGGTAAAAGAATATTAGTCAGGATTTATCCTCTGCTTTCTTTTCAATGTGTTTTATTACCAATCCTGGTTTCAGGGAAAGTAAATTTACTAAGAAATGTCCATCACACAAATATACCAACAAATGTAGTTGAACTGAAAATCACTTTTTACTTAGGCTCTTTAAGTATCATTAGAACATAAATTGTAATAGTTACAGCCATCTACTGAAGTATGTAGGTATTTTACAGCTGTAGTAAATGAACACTGTTAAATTTAGAGATGTATGTATATAAAACCACGGGAAAGACAGTTGAAGAATGAACACCTGCTTCTTCTAGGTTTCCAAACAATTTGTATCTAAAGACCGAAAAGATGTTCCTTTTAATCACTCACACTATGTGTGAACCACAGCTTGGGCTAGTACTATTTAACATTTATTTTAGAGCTGTGCTCACAGGCCACAATTAGGACCAGGGCTCCATCGTGCTGGGCATTGTACAAACACACAATGTGACATCATCCCTGCTGTGAGAAGTTATATCACAATTTGTTGTTCAAAATAAATTAATGCAAGCATTGAGCACTGGTAGTTTAAAGAAACAAGTCAATAAACAATCTCTTTTATGGTTCCCTAGATTATAGTTGATAATTGTACATCTCTAATTAAAACTGAACATAATGGTAATAATGATTGTCTTTGGTGACTGAAAAATTTCAGGAGATAGGTGAGGGAAGAAAGGGGAAGATGCATTTCATTGCCAGAGATTTGGGTTCAAATTTTCATTTGGACCTCACAGGATTGGAATTGCTTTCTTAATTTAACCTATTTGTCCACAAATGTTGATACAACATAGTATGATTAGTCTCCTCTCTGCTCAGAAGACACTTGAAGCAGGAGTAGCAGGAGTGTTGCAGGCCATGGATATAGTGCATCGAGACAGCTGGTGTACAGAAAAATGCTGGCACTATTCATTGCTATTGTTGACATCTGTGAACGCTAATGAGGAACAGACTATGCAATGATGCCACAATAACCTAGAACAAAAATATTGATGGGAAAAGGTACAAAAGGGAGATAAAAAGGCCTCCTGATATAATACAAGAATTATGTTAAGATCATTCTTGGTAAACAAGAAAAGTGTGGAACCAAAATTGGTGTGTCAAAAATTAGGCCTAATTGGTGGACAAAAAAATGAGAGGATGGGCTATTCCTCATTCACTCCCTCTTGGGGTTCTTAAAGAAAGAGACTTTTGGGGGTGGAAATGGCTATTGGCGTGAGCTTCACTACCCTAGCTGCCACCCCCACCATCTCCTAGGATCCAGGTCCTTCGTCATCCTAATCCTGAAAGATGGGCTGACCAAACTGGGCCAGAGAGAGGGAGCCAGATGACATTACCACCTCTGCCAATTTTGGCTAGATCTCGAACTCTATCTGGGATTTGTCTCCTCCCTCCATGTGTCCTTTTCCTTCCCTATCTTAGTTTCTTCTCTTTTCTATCTCTCTCTCTCCTTTTCCTTCTGTCTAATAAGAGTCTGGCTTAGCTAGCCATGACTGCGTATTTTTGAAACACTGCTGTAAGTCTGTGACCAGAAAGAGGTAACTAAAAGCAATACCCTAAACAGCACGATCCTGGGACAATTTTGCCAGGTCTTGAAGTGGCTGATAAGGTCATGTTTTGTGCCTGTGTTTTTCCAGCAGCAAGGCTGCAAGTGAAAGTCAACACCCGAGACACAAGCTGCTTTTTCTCTCTTCGCTGTTCTTTTTTTCCCCCCTTTCTGTGTGTGTTTGTCTTGTTTTGTCTTCTTGGGAAATGGGATCTGACTTTAACAACAACAGCAATAACAACCCCACCCCATAGCAGCTAATAATGTCTCTTTTCCACAAAAGGGACAGTTATTACCATCTTGAAATACCATTTAAGAGACTGTCAGACAAGTGGGGTTTTCCTTCTAAAAACTCTCTCAAGGTAAAGGGAAAAGGGAACAAAGGATGTTGTTAAAATGAAAACCTTATTCAATACTTTACATTTTAAATGCTTTTACTGTTTTCCTTCTTTTTCTGTAGCTTTAATAAAAGGTTCAAAGGAATTTTAATGGTGTATTTTCCATGGTGGTAAGCCAGCTAAGGTATACCGAGCTATACGGAGGTATACCAAACCCTGAACCTTGTCTAACATTGTTTAATGGTGGACAGCAACTGGATTATGTTAACATTTTTGACTTTTTAGGCCTATACCATCTAACAGAGCCCACTGCAACTTTATGCCTGGCTGACTGGAAGAAAAAGGGTTGTTGCTCCTTAAAGGGCTTCCCCTGCAACTGCTAGCAAATATGGCGGAAGGGGGAAAGTTCACCTGTATGGAGTGAGAAGAAGCAGGAAACAGCTGGACGGGAGAAGGGGTACCGAGGAGGGGTGTCATTGCCTCAGCAGCTGGCCAGAAGGATGGGGGCTATTAATATCCCATGCAGTCCTGAAGAATGGGCTGGCAGACTCCACCTTCCCACTCATAGAATCTGAAAAAGCACCGGGTTCCTCCATGACCCACTGTGGTCATTACACTAGTTTCCCCTTTTCCCTATGGGGCTGGGAAGGATTTTTTCCCTCAACGCCAGATTGGCTGAAGTGGGCTGGGATTTTTCACCTTCCCCTGCTTGGGGCAGGGGAGTTAGGTTATAATGTCACATCTTAGTTCGTAAAACTTGTGTCAGATGGCCAGTGCAGGTACTCGGTATGAAAGGGATATTGTTATTGGATAAAATGGATTGGAAAAGGATGTAAAGGAAAGCATCCCTTAAGGGTGCTGAGCAAGGGTGGTTTGGAGCTTCTGTGTCTAGTACAAGGGGGAGCCTTTTCTAGGCCCCTTAATCCTTTTAGAGGGGAGGATGGCTGGGGTCAGGTTGGGGATTATGTGGAAATGATTAAAAAAAGCATGATGACCTACACTGTATAATTTAATGCTGTGTACCCCCAGATATTTTAAGTGAATAAAATTGCGGCCTAATTAAACCCCATCCATTGCCTCCGGTCTTTCTTCCGGTGTGGCCGGACAGTGGAACTATTTGATTCTTCTGGATCAATTGCCACTATCGGTCAGCTTTTTCTTCCTTCACTCCCTTATCGTCTGCTTCCCTGATCCGACGTGCCAAAGTTTATGGATGTGAGTGGAGAGTGTGTGTCTGCTAACATATCTGTTCCATTTTCTGTACTACTTTCGTGTGTACCTTAACATCGGCAGCTTCGGAGTAGTAACTATGCTATCAATATTAATGGAGGTTAGGAGAAGCAGAATGTCTGTGTTAATATATAGAGCCAGCTCAGCTTCACGTCTTTGCTTGCATGGAGTCAGGAAGTCAACCCATAGGAAGAAGAAAGATGAAGAAAGGAGGGGGACTTGGGACAAGATAAGAACAGAGAGATGAAAGGAAATGTTAGGGTGTTAGAGTAGGAGGTTTTTACATAAAGCAAATCCTAATGTGCTGAAATTTGAAACAGGATAGGTGTAAAAGATTTAGTTGTGTCAAGGGAAGCTAATGGTACGTGCTAATTTTAGATTCCAAAGCAATTGCTAATAACCTCACAAAAAGTTTTCCTGAGGAGATTTTCTGTTTGTATACATTTAATTGAGTTTATCAGCTGTTGCAGTTGCCCTGGATAACATCAGTCTGCCACAGCCAGAGTGGCTGTTCAGCTGTAGCATGCTTGGGTCTTGCCTTGCAGGTGGCAGATTGCTTATTACAAGGCAAGCCATACTGCCAGGAGCGGTGCCAGGGTTTTTGGCGCCCTAAGCGGGCGTCCTTCTGCACTCCCGGTCGTCATCGGCAATTCTGCATCGGGGGGGGGTCCTTCCGCGCTCCCGGTCTTCGGGGCACTTCGGCCACAGGTCCCAGAGTGAGTGAAGGACCCGCCGTAGAATTGCCACCGAAGACCCGAAGCGCGGAAGGACCCCCCGCTGCCGAATTGCCGCCCCCCCAAATCCTGGCGTCCTAGGCGACTGCCTAGGTCGCCTAAATGGAAGCGCCAGCCCTGCATACTGCAATACACTATGGTGGTGGAAGTGCTTTGGTGGGGACAAGCTGGTGTTACACAAAGCCACTGCTATTTCAACAAAGAATCAGCAAGAGTAAGTGTGAACAATACAGCCCTGAACACTGTGACTAGCAGACACTTTACACTGAAACGTCTCGCTCTCTTCATTTTCTGGATTCACTTTCCTTAAAACCCTGTAAGTAAAATAACATTTTAAAATGCACTTTTATAAATACAGGGAGGGGGCAAATGCAACTATCTCCCTGTGTAAATCAGAGTGCCAAAATTGGAGAGCAAAATTCACTTTTTACTTTTAGGTAAGTTTCATAGTCCAGCTATTTGTAACGGGCTGAAACTTTGGATTTTCTCATCCTTAATAATTAATATATTCATATACTATTAAAAACATAGTATCTTTGATCATTCAGTTGTCATAGAAATGCTGCAATTGTATATATAAGACACATTATTCTTACATATTTGTCTTTAGGCCCACAACAGAAACCTATTATCCATTGATTTTGACCACGTAACCAGAACAGGAAAGATCTATGATGACCATCGAAAATTCACTCTTCGGATTCTGTATGACCAGACGGGACGTCCAATTCTGTGGTCACCCATCAGCAAATATAATGAAGTCAACATTACTTACTCACATTCAGGATTAGTGACCTACATTCAGAGAGGAACATGGACTGAGAAAATGGAGTATGACCCAAGTGGGAAGATAATTTCCAGAACATGGGCAGATGGTAAAATATGGAGTTACACATACTTAGAAAAGGTAAATCAATTTAAAAATGGATTATTATATTAAAGGCAGGAAATGTATATGAATATAAAGATTAAATTATAAATACATTCACTGTCATGGTAAATCTCCAGCAAAAGTAACTAAGAACCTTTTTAACTGTAAATGGGAACAATTATATATTTAGATAAAATGTCTTTGGACTGTCATCACTTGGAACACTGTAGTTAGGCATGTATTAAAACTAAATTTGGTGGAATGTTTTCCCTTTGTTTCATTTTGACAAGTTTATTCACTTTTTTGAAAGAGACTTTCTCAAAGGAAAAATTTATTCAGAACTATAAAATTGAGCAGTAACACGTTTATGCTAGAATAAGTGGCATGTGGAATTAAGCTATAGTTTTTATTTTTGTTTCAGTTCGGTTAATGTGCTTCATTAGAATAATATATTTTAAAAAGAATTATATAAGTGATTTTCAAGTGTAAAGGAAGATGAGGGTTGGATTGCATTAATAATGGGAGGAAAGTTGCAGGCCTCTAAGGTCATCAATTCATATCTGACATAGATCAGCAGCAAAGGTCATTAGCATCTGAGAGTTGTTAATGACTTATGTAAAATGCATTGATGGGTTCAGTCCAGTTCCAAGTAGATGGGACCACAAAACCTCCCCCTCACTTTTGACATGTGTTGTCATTCTGTGTTGAGATGTGTTGAGAATCAAATACTTAAAGGATATTGAAACTGAATTATCCTCTGACTTGCAGAGATGGCCCTTCTAGGTCAGGATTATGGAACAATGTAAGAAAGCTTATACTACCACTGTCTATACTGTATCCTGGGCATAAAGATATTGGTTTCCAAGGCTGTCTAGCCAGCATTTTTCAGGAGAACTGTATTCACTCTTTTGAAAAAGAATGCAAGGAGATGGAAACAATTATTCCCCTTTTGTAAAGGCTTTATGACTGAGTTTCCTCAACAACCATTATCTGCAATTCTCTTTAGAGATACAGGTCACTTAATAAGGGTACAAAAGTTGCATACTCCAAGGTGGAGCATCATATTTTCTGTGTGCCATTTCTTCAGAAGCATTTCATTCCACATTGTAAGTATATCTCCAAACAGCATCCTCTACAACTAAAAAAAGATAGTAGCAATAATTAAAAATACCATGAGTTTCCAAACATTTTCTAGTCTGTTAACCACAGGAATCTGGAGAAATGACTCAAGCAAGACAAGAAATAAAGCTGATAGGTGATATTATATGCTAGGAAATCCAATTACTTTTAAGTATCAGAGGGGTAGCCGTGTTAGTCTGAATCTGTAAAAAGCAACAGAGGGTCCTGTGGCACCTTTAAAACTAACAGAGG